TATTTTTCTCTTAATTGATTTAGTCTTGTCGATTTAACACAAATTGTAATTATACACTATATATATTATTTCATATGCGGTATTTTTCGAGAATATGGTTCCTGTTTTTACTTCATTACGTCTATATGTTTTCAGAAGATCGTCAAATATTCGAAGAAAGTTTGTTACAGACGTTTTCCCGCGAAACCCGAGTCCGTACGACGCGACGCCTTGGCGAACTTCGTTTTGTCGATTTGTGCTTAGCGAACGCGGAGCCCATTAATATTCATTGTTATTTGAAGCTCAGCTACGGAGAAACGAATTAGATTGCCTTTGCCGAGAGGGACCAACCAGGAAACGCTTCCAAAAAGGAATATCCTCTCGTGGCCGTCGCGAAGTTGTGTGTTGAAATTGAATTCTCCGCGACCATCTGGAAGTTTCGGAAACTTAACCGCGAAGAACGCGCGGGAGTTTTGAAAATAATACATATTGTATATCGGAAACGCGTATCAGCTACGGATACTGTAGACAACCGTGGAGACATGTACCACAACGACGAGAAAGCGGAGGGCGTTCCGTAGACGCCGGAAAGGAAACGCTGGAAAGCGCGCGGGACGCAACGCTGCTTTACATTTCTTTCGCTCCACGAGTTTTCCCGCAGGATATTAGACGCTACTCCGCTTCCAGGCGCTCGCAGAGCACGTTTCGTGAAATAAGAAGGTAATACTCGATTATTCTGGTTTACGGCCCGATTCCCTATTTATAACAACGATAAAAGTAGCGAGAGTTCAAGGAACTTTTGAGGAATAACGTTCGACAAGAGGGAATTCGTTACATAATATCATGGAATTTTTCACTCGGGAAATTGCGACTTAATCCTAAAATGCTATCGATATTGAGTAATGCTATTGATACGTAAATTTTATGTATAAGCAATATAATACTTTTTGTATTTAAGTTGGAAACAGTCCATTCAAATCCTTATTAAAATTATAAGCTAAATTTTTAATATATTTGAGTGTTAATTTAACATATGTGGTTATATAATGTTACTTAAAGATTTTGACATTCAACATTTCATAGTGAAAAAATAACACAATTTATGAATAAATAAATAAATAACATGAAAATAAAGTATTTCAAAACGTCAATTCTAAGATGAATGAATAAAATGGATTAATTTATTATAATACACCATAAATGTTAATTTTACTGAAAAAATACGTTTCCACGGTTTGTTTATAAACTTTCTGTACTTTATTATCATTTTTTATATTTATTTTCATACATAACATTTGTGTACCTAACATATTTATCTGATGTTAAATTAACTCCAAAGTTTGAGTGAATCGTTTGTGATATACGATTTAAATTAATTTTGACACATTTTTTTCCTACAGTGTAAGATAAACAAATAAACTAAACACTTGTCAATTTAACATAGCATAAATATTAATTTTACTAAAAAAATGTCCAGAGTCTGCTTACAAATTCTGTCGATATTACTTTTTTTTAAAAATTTTCTTTTACATAACATTTGTGTTACCTTCATCAATTTAAAAAATGACACAACGTTTTGGTTTGGTATGCTTTATATATTTATAATATGGATCAAATTTTAAAAAACTTCTTGCTTATCCTAGTTTTTTTTAGCATGACAAATTGTACAAATTTATGATCTCCTGATGACCACTGAAGGCGAAGTTAATGTTCAACGACCTCGCTCTCTTGCATATAAAATATACGTATCAATAATGTGTTTAATTAATTCAAACACGTTTTATGGAAAAGAAACATTTTGATCGAAAATTGGAAACCACTTTCATCAGAACTGGCATCGCTCTTTTATAGCATCGTATATGAATATTAGCAACGCGCATCATTATACCGATTCCGATATTTCGTTTGTTTGGAAGCTGTAAAGCGATACTGCGGGAGTTTCCATCGTGATACCATGTCGGTGTATTTTCCGACCGAACATTTGCGTGATGCAATTCGCCCATGATTCTGCCTATGCTTTCGTTTCCTCCCATTTTTTTTTTTTTTTTTCGTAAACCCGCGAGGCGCAATCAACCGGGCATGATTTTTCACCACGGATTTGCGAGACGCGTCGCACCGCGGTGGTACCCTATAAATTCGGCAGTGCGTATAGATAACAAGCAAATCTGCAAACAATGTTTCAAAGCCAATAAACTTAGCTGTAGCCATACGAGGGCGTTTTCAGGAAGGAATTTATCGGTTTTGCGCGAGAATTATCCCAACGGTCCCTCAGGGTAAATAATTCGTCTCGTAGAAAGCAGCGTGTCACGGACGTCTCTCTTTCGCTTTTATATTTTTTTATAATGTGTTCATTATAATGCATGGAGAGAATTAAATTTTATAGATCAGCAATGCTAAAACCTGCTGCACGAGTTCAACATTTATGAGATTTGCTGGTTCAATAAAAAAATTATGTCTGTAAGCAATTATCAATATGCTGATTCAGCTAATTCTTTGCTGTAATGAAAATTGCTAATTGTAACGAGTTTTCTTCATTATAGCAACAAAATTATGTCATCTTTGCAGATTTGTTAAAGTTTTGTTAAAAGTTTTGATCTACAATATTACCTAATATGTGTCGCAGCCTTTTTACAAAAAAGTTAAAATGAGCTAGCCTCTTTGCAAAAAGAACTAATTTCGTAAAAGGGCTGCGAATAACACATATTGGATTTTCATAAAAAATTACCTTTGCTATATTAATAAATTTGCTGTACTTTTACGACAAATATGATTACCTATATTCGCTAATTGTATTCAGCTATATAACTTTGTTACTTTAACATATAAAACTAATGGTTCGTATATTACGGCTGAAGATTTTCTGAATCAGTGAAGTTTTTAGTCGTTCCAACAAATCTTTCTTTTCCGTGTGGATGTCGCTAATAATGATAAAGATTAATGTATCAAATCGTGCGTGCCGACAAAGAGCAATGCTGTATGAGCGATTACACGTCTTCTGTTGATTTTTCCGACGCATTGCGATTACGGGTATTTGCCGGTTTTCCCCGATGTAATTGAGTTCTCGCGTGCGCTAACGAAACGCTCAGGCTACGCGGAAAACGCTCTACGACGCGTATGATTGATAATGCGGATAAGGACGATGCACGTGCAACTTTATCTACAGAATGTCGGTGCGAAAAAGAAAAAAACGATGATAAGCGGACGATTGAAAGATCCAAAACGCGGAAGCAATTACGAGATCAATAAAAAAAAATAGTCCTGCACTCGATCGTTTGCGCCATGATCGTCTCAAATATGGTATAAACGAGATGAGGAGGATTCGGGACGATTGCAATTTCGTCGCTGAAGGTGTTCTCGATTCTTATGAAAATAAGCGAAGGCAAAATGCGAGGGGGAAATACTATACCGGGACGGAAAGGGAAGGTAGTGGAGTTCAGGAGCCGGTGGAAAATTGCCGAGAACTTTTTGTTATTCCGACGAAAAGTTCCGCCATGTTGATTGGATGATAATGAGCCTCGAAAAGTGCGAAAACGAACCGGCGTGCCAGTCGACTTTGAGCAAAAGTTTCGAAGAGCGGAACAGCCTCGGCGCGTTGTTATGACGTCAGGCGTCTCTTTCCTCCCGCATGAAAATTTTTTTTTATCTTCCAATTCACTTAATCCGAGGAAGCCGAATTTTCTTATCGCGCCTGACCAGGTGAGTTCGCTTTCGTTCGTCCCCGCTGTCGCCTGTGAGAGGAAACTCGACTTCTCGTAAAAATACGCAATTATCGTTACATCCTATTGTCGACGAAACGGCAGAAATCCATTCCGCGGACTGTCGAATCTCTCCGCAATTTCATTCGAGTCGTGCGTTTTTCAGTATACGGGGTGACGAAAAAGTCAGCCTCTCGTTGAACGATACGAGCCACCTGGCGTTCTTGTGGATCACTTCTGGTTGCTATCTTTTTGCCGAAAATCCCATTACTATATTTTGCCAGAGATCGATAGTCACTATCAAAATTGTTATTGTCTTTTAGTGCGTTCTCAAAAGAAAGTAATGGAATCTTTTCCGTCGGTTAGAAAGCTGAAGATTCGTTAAAAAAGCAGGAGTTTCAAGCAGAAAACATGAAGGGTGGTAACCGTGGGTCCGTTTTCTTTATGGTACACCGAGAAATGTAGGATTTAAGAGGATACTGGAGTCGTCTGTAATACTGACGAAACACACATTTCGCACTTTCTCATTTTCTTCGTTTTCTTTACAGAAAAATCTGTCTTCAGAATAAAAAAAAAAAAAAACGTAAATAGCTGTGGGGAAAACATGAACTTATATGAAAAAAATTGTAAATTATAGTTTCCTGTTACCATATAGGTTATATCTTGGCATACTATATATAAATCGTTCCAAGTACACATTCAACAAAAAGTCGTTTCCCCACATTTTAATAATTTATTAGAATATAATGAGATCTTCAAGTTATGATTTTGAATCTTACAAGTGAATGGAAAAGTACAGTCTGAGTGTAATAATCTAACATTCATGTGATATATCGGCTATAACAGAATAACAAAAATGTAACGTTTTACTTAATGTACGTAATGTTTTTATTTGGAATTAAGAATCTATTTTGTCGTCATCAGTCAAGTTCGGCCAGCATCCCCTTAAGGGAATTGCAAAATAAAAATTTGTTGTCAAGCGGTGACGCGTCAAGTTTCGCTCCCCAAATTTCAATGTAACTTCCCGGTCACCTTGTATACCGTTGTATCGCAGCAAGAATAGAAATCTCTTTGGCGTTCGATTACTAAAGCTATTGGCGGAGCGAGATTTATTGACGCTATCGATTGCCCAATGCCCTGGTGCGGCGTGTTAGTGTTGGAAATGTTAGCTCGCATTCGTTTCGCGCTCGTAATACGTTCAACATGGAGAAACGCGAATGAAAGCGAACAGTGCGAATGGATGCAGATAGAGTTTGCGAACAGTTTTATGCATAAAAAAGGGGGAAAAGGGAGTGAAAATTGAAAGCTGTATGAATCTGTAATTACCCCGACGTGTGACTTCCCGACGAAGTCTCTTGCTCTCTTTGGAAAAACAAAAAGAAAGGCTGGGTTAATCAATGTGATAATATACCTCCACATGTATGATTATATCAATGTATATGTCAAACTTCTGATGAGAATACGCAGAGAAGAGTCTTTCTTAAAATAAAACAATGTTGTAAGTTTAACAAAAATTTAAGCAAGTTTGATATGAGATGAACATTTTATCATGATTATATGTTTAGGTAATTAAACATATTTAAGCCCACATAAATATGATTAGAGTTGAGCGCAGTTAATATTTCAGGCGCAATATTTTATAATAAGGACACAAGTGACTCGAAGAAGGAGCCTGATTTTTGTTATAATCTCATGTTAATTTCATCCAACGTAATTTAATTTAGCACGCAAAGAGAAAAACTGACTTACTTGGCCGACGCTCTTGTTCTTGATCTTGTCGAGGGTTAGTCGCTCCTTGACGTAGTGGAGTTTGAGGATTTCCCTCATGCGGTTCTTGTCCTGCAGCATCTGCTTCACGTTCGGCTCGCTCAGCGCCTCGTTGCTGGGCGCGAAGAGGGTAACATCTTTCATATAACTGATGCTTGCCATAACCTCGTCTCCAAAATCGCGGATGGTCTCGTAAAACTTGTACAGCGGTCCATCCTCCTTTTCCTACACGAAGAGAAGAGATTTCTGTCGATCGGTTACGCATTGCTCGCCGCGCCTCGGTTCTACGAGGAGCCGTGTCGAAAGAAAAACAAAAATAAGACGCAAATGGAAAAAAAACAAGAGAAAAAGAAAGGAAAAACAAGGAGAAAGAAAAAGTAAACACATCGAGATTACTTATCGAAGGGAATCGGTGGCGTCCAATTTCGACCCGAAATCATCAATATTCCATTACGTGTTAATCAAAGAGGAGAGGATGGCATCTCATAGATTAAGGCGTAACAGAATTTTATATGAACCGTGTCGAAGCTCTGCCATTTACTCTCCAGAGAGAAACATTGGAAAGCGAGAAAGATAAGAAAAGTTGGAGAGGACCTGGAGAGAGAGAAATTGGACACGGTGAGGAAACAGATCAACATGCGGCGAGGAGTTTACGAAGCTTCCGACTTTTTATCGCGTTTCTCGGACGATCCTATGCATCCCCAATAAAAATGGATTTTCATACATTTAATCGTCCATTATCCTCAACGAGTTGTATTTGAATCTAACTAAAAAAAACACCCTTGTTAATTCAAATGAAAGTTTAAAGAACTGATTCCCGGACCCTCTGCGTGCTCGTAAACATCTAACAGAAAACGAGACGTGAAAGTATAATCCTGAAATCACATAATCCTGAAAAATAAAACTCTTTAGGGGAGGCGACGATTGCGGTGGAAGAGACGCTAAAGATTCTCGAGAGATCGCTTAAAATGAAAAATACTTGAAATTCAGAGGGTCGAGACACAGAAACCGTCGCAATTAGATCGACGTAACGAACTTGAAACTCCGTGCAACTCGCGCCGCAAGGAAGAGACGGAATGAATTACTTATGGGAAATATACAAGGTGTAAGGGAAAAGAAAGCGTGTCTGGGACATGAGTGTTAGTCGTTCACGGAAGCAGCAACATTACGTGACGCACATAATTCACGTTCCTCGCCCAAATCGCCCGGAGTGCCGATCGCGCTTCCTGTATATAGACTGGAAGAAGATCATGTGGCACGAAAATTTTGGAAATTAAATTTTAGTAATTCAAGGAAATTAAAGACGAAGTTCGAAGAAAAAAATCCCGTACGGACTATATAGAAAATTCCGATAAAATAAATTAATTTTTACATATAATGTGGTGGAAAAAAAATGTCACAAACACAAGGCTCAATAATAGTTTTTGGTGTAGTAAAGGTGTAAAATCGATTAAGAGAAATAATCCAAAAAGGTGCAAATCTTCTGTTCAAAGAACATCTTTGATACAACATAGCTTAAAAACTATAGGTATGTTATTGAGCCTTATATGTCATGACATCTTTTGTTCATCACGTTATAGACTACATTATATGGTATATGAGAACTAATCCATTTCATCTAATTTTCTATACATTTAGTGCGGGATCCTTTGGTTACAGCGAATGGAGATTTAAGAAAAAATAACAAAATAAATTTTGAAGAGGAGAACACTCGATCTCGCTCGAATAAGTAAACGAAATTGGGTTTGGAATTTTAACTCTTGTCACGCGATTTTTCCATAGTGTCATAAAAGAAGCTCAAAATATCCCGATACAAAGTGATATGTCAAAACTGCATCAATATCGATAAAGATACCGAAATGTCAGATTTTTTAAAAATAAAAAACTTTTTTCTTTTTTTGAGAATATCAAGTATCATATTTGAAAATAGATGAACGAACATTATTAATTTGCTTTTCTTTTCTCGCAGAAAATAATACATAAAACCAAAATTTCAGACGAGTTTAAAAAATATTTTAGAGAAGTTCAAGTAAGTCGTAAATGGGTCGGCAAGTACTTGTTTTAGAGTATATGCGCTGTTCTTTTTATAAATCTCAACTAGGGATCGCGTATTTTCTGATGAAATACGTGACTTATACGAGACATTTTGGAAGAAATGAAAAATTCAGACATGTAACTCGACAGGGAATGGTTAAGAGATAGATTTTCCTCCTTAAAGATCTCGGTGAGGGAAGCACGAAAGGTCTTACGGGTCTTTCTCGTGAAAGACACGCTTTACGAGATATCGTAAAGAAACTGCTGGATGTTAAAAATTTCGCAAAGTCGGGAAGAGTAACACAAAAGTTAAAATGGACATCCCCGTATCCTCGTACAACTCCTGTCGGATCGCATTACACTGTGGGTAGAAAAAAAAAACCCGGAAAGGTAATTAACGAGGCAGCAGTTAGCTATTCACGAGCCCGCAGCTTCGATGTGGTTTTCGGTGTCCACATGGACGAGCTTAATGAGAGAGAATGACCGGAAAAGAGAAGGGAAAGGGGAGGATTTTCCGAGTAAAATGAATCGCAGGACAAGGGAAAACTAGAAAACAATAGAGGGAATACAGGAAATCCGATCATCGTGCTGGAAAATCACTTTCGGGGCGTTCCTGATTTATGCAACGAACGACGAAAGAGAGAAATAATTCCCACGGATTTTTCTGCACCTGCGAATTGGTGTGCATACAACTACTTTTCTAATCTAGAGAAGTGAATGTTCATTATAATGGCGAAATCAAGAAGCGAAGTAAAGTCAAAGAAAAATATTTGAAAATGTATGTTTGCTCCGAGAAATTCTCGGCGCCGCCGATCGTTATACGTCCCTCTCGGCACGTATGCGAGTGCAAAATTACACGATTCTCATACCGGTCGGGTAATATTACTAAAAGGATGGAGTTTATGCACCCCCGGGTTAGAACAACATCGGCTCTCGAGCGGGAAAAATCCGCGAAAGTCATTTCTCCCCTTTCCCGTGGCTGCCAAACGCCACCGGCATTTCCCTCGTGGCACGAATCCCTCTCTTTCTGAACGGACCCCCTTCTATCCTCTCCACTTGTTTATTTCACCCCTCTTTCCCATTCTCCCTTTCGTTCTTTTTGCTCGTACCTCGTTAATCTCTCTTCAGGTTCGAGGCTTGAGGCCGATGGGAAAGTCGGGAAGTAACAAAAAGGGGGATTAACTAGGCATCTGAAGGCGTTGAGAGAGAAAAATATTGACAAAAACTAAAAAAAAAGAGAGAGATGAAACTGACCGACAAAGATAAGAGACAGAGAGACATATAATATATATATATATATATATATAAATAGGAAATGGGCAAAATCGTAATAGAAGTTGATCGGCGGTCGTTAGCCGAGTTATCTATCCGAACGAACGATAAGGGCAAGTTTAATAACGATACATGGCTACTCTCTGTTAAGGTTTCCTATGCCAGGATAAATTAATATAAAAATATAGGGCGAGAATGTGACAAGGCTCGCCCGTGTGTGGCGGAAGAGATTTCTTTTCCACAACTTGAAATCGTATCGATCGGCGAAGGCTCGTTCCTCTATTTTTTCCTCTCGCTAACTCCGTTCTTTTGTATTCAGAGCATCGAACCGTGAAGTTGTATACGTGTCGGCGAACTTTCCATTCTGGAGCAAAAATACATCTCGGAAGCAGTACCGTCTCGAGTAGCACGTAACTGAGATTGTCGGTAATTCTGAGATTTCTTCGTGGATACTTAATTATTAAAAAAATTTTGAATGTTCGTTAGCTTCGTGGATTGAGTAAATTATAATTAGGGAGAAAAAATGTTACGATCTTAAAAACTTGTAATTACCGACTCTACCTTTTATACTAGCGAATATATTTTTACCTCTATTTTGATTTAACGCTAAGCCCTATTTTACCGCTCTTTATTGTTTTATTCTGGTGCATTTATTCCTAACTTCGTTATATTGAATTTTTCTTTCTTTAAAGAACGGATCAGCGGAACGAGATTCCTCGATCGCATTTTCATATAAATGGCGCAGATTTAGTCGTAGATTCTACTACTTGTGTATAAGGATCTAAGTATTCGAGGATCAAACGATCCTTCGGTTATTCTGAACGTCAGAACCCAAGGATTTTCGATCCCGATCGTCCGAATCCAAGGACCGAGAGATCCAGCGTTCCCGAAATCCGAGAATTCGAAGTTTCGGGGATCTTCCGGCTTGGAGAAGTCCGAACATCCAGGGATCGGACGATCCGCGAATCCAGGGACCCCGAGGAGCATCCGGCATTCGTGGAGATTCGAAGCTCCGAGGAATCCGCGCGTCCAGGGATCGATGGATTCGCGAATCCATCCGTCCTCTGGCGACGAGATTGGAGTCTGAAATGTGTCGTGTGTATTCGTATATAGGTCTCATGATGAGTTCATTTAGTAAGTACTTACGATGCCCTATACGACATGCAGAGTCCAATAGAGACATGCAAAGCACCACAGAATAACATCATTGAGTCAATATAAAGGTAGTAAACACATATACACAATTGATTAAGAAAAAAAGAAATAAAAAAAGATCATTCGACGATACTGAGAGGGGAATTGCGCGCGAGACTCTCTTTTTATCTTGGAGTATAAGCGACGGCTCTTCGCGCGACTTTTTTTCCGGAAGAAAAATTGATCCGTCCTTTGCTCGTTTCGTCAGAGGATGTGAAACCGTTTTTGAGGAGTGCACGTTCTCCCTCCCGTCGCAGGAAGATTGATCGCGTTATCGTTATTTTTCTTTTTCTTTTTTCTTTTTTTTTAACCATTGTCGATATTCGGAAATTAATATCGCTTGTAAATTGATCGAACGACCGTAGAAAACGAGCTATTTCACCCGTTACGGCAGCGAGCCGTGCAGGTTTAATTAGTCACTGATCACAACGATCAGTCATTTGCAACTGCGATTAATCGAGCGATTCATTCTGCGGTCGAATTGTCCCGTCGCGCTTGTCGTGAACGCGACGGCGCGATTTTTCGATGGAGGGTCCTCCGGCGTATTGTAAATTACAAGTCGAGATTATCAGGAGGTAATTAATAGGGGGACGCGCTACGGAAATTTAGTGCGCTCAATGCGCCCGGACGTGCAATTACGATAAACGTCATTTCGCATGAAAACGACGGTATCGCTACGCCGCGCCGCCACGATATCATCGTGAATAATGGCAAGACGACGACGCCGCGAGCTTCGCATTTCGCGTCGCGGAAAATTTCGTTTCGCCCGCAGCTCGCGGGGGGAGGGGGGAGGGGGGGGGGCTAATTGTGATCTATAGAGCCCCCGAGAATTTCTATCGAGACCGCAAATTAACGTCTCTTTCGGCCGAATACACAAAAGAGACAGAGAGGGGGCTGCAGCTATCCGCGACCAATATTTTCGCAAACCAGTCGTCGATCGTTCGGGATTATTTAGGTGAATCCGATAACTCTCGGGGATCCAAGGACGCGGCAGAGTATCCCGTTGGGGTGCATCGGATCCTCCGAAAAATATCCCGAGATCGATACACAATTTCCTTAGTTAGACTATGCATTAATTGTAAATGCGGGTGCCCTTAAGAGAGACGTATACGAGCGGCGGGAGTTGTTTTCTCAAGGAATTTAACGTCGACTTTTCTTTAGCGGGAATTTAATTCAAGTGCGCTTACCGCGAGCGCTCTTTAATTTTCATTTTCCCGAAGAGCTCGGGAATTAAGTCCGAGATTATGCGTTCGCTAAAGAAAAATGGACTGAAAGTTGCTTGGGAGATAATAATACTCCTACGGCCGATGTACGCATCTCTCTCGCGGGGCATCCTGTAACAACGGATATAGCGAATAGATTAGGCGTGATGAGATGATTCAAAAAGGGGAGATGAATGGTATAAGAGCGCGCGCGTTTGTGATCGAATGTACTGATAAAATATGTCACGTGAGATCGTGGCTATGCCGTTATGTGAATGTCACGAGGGTCGTATCATGATCTGTGAGAATCATGGGAAACGCGGCTTCCCCAAGTCATATACCTTTACACGCGCACACACACGTCGAAGAAAGTTTCGCCCCGCTTCGGTTATAAATCTTCAGTATCGCATGCGACGAAGTAAGCGAAGCGAAGTAATCTGTCTATAAATAACAGTGAAAGATCTCCCGTCTTCTTTCCTTCACCCCCCCGAAGCTTTGTGTCTCCGCGGATTCTGAGCTCTTTTAAACTCCTTGGAGACTCTTGGCGTTCTTCTTGGATCTTCCACGGGATCTTTAGATCGCTGAGAATCTGCATTTTTGAAAATCTCGCCCTAAACGGATTAAATTGACTCAATCCACTTTGTTTGATCGTAACTCTGGAATTTTCGCGTTCCCCCCTTCTCGCGCGGTTCGATTACAAATCCCCGGATATAACTTTCGACAGGAAAATAATGCGAAACTTGATCGATGTGTGTATACATCGCGTATATCGGTGCTCTCGTCCTCGACGGCATGCGGCATTCATAGGACTAACAATCAGCACAGGACTAACAAATAGCAGTGCAACGTGCAGTGCGTACTGTCGCTAAACACTGATCTTTTACAAGGAAGATCTCATCCGGCCGCGCGTCCCGTCGTAAAGCGCGCGTTGTACTCGCCGTAATCGTAAAACTGCTCTTAGCGTTGCACGAGCGATGCACGCGAATATGTAGTGCCGGGTAACACACTCCGAAAATGAAATTTTTTTTACGACGCATCCGAAGCACTAACTTCTTAGGCGACGAGAGCGTTGCGCGAAAATCGCTCTCGACGGAGCCAACTATGAGGGCCGAGATGTGATCATCTCGCATCGCAAAAACGCTTCGACATCTCGCTGTGACTCTCTGAAAATTGCAGCTATTTACAAAGCACAGCAAAGTTAAAGAATGACTCCGTTGAGCGGAAAAAGGTTTGCAACTGTTGTAAGATCCTTTATGATTAATCATCGCTCTTAATTCCTACTGGATTTAAATGTATAATAATATATAATCAATCTGTCAACATTAAAAGTACCGACGTTTTTACTCACTAAAGGCACCAAGTAAATGAATTACTGCTGAAAATAAAAAATTGATAAAAAGTTAAATCTCTTTTATCACTTAAGTGGCATAATTGTTGGTAAATTAAAAGATTTTCAGAATCTTCCTAAACAATATAGAATTTGCAGTAATATTGTTGCAATGTTTGTAATGTTACTAGAATATTGCCGGAATCAGTGCTGTGTTAGTTATTTTTTACGTAAGAAGTGCAATATTAAATTAGTAATAAAAATAGAAACGGTGTCAGCATGATGACCTCTCGATGCTTTCTACAGATTTGCCACAAATTCTTCATCCTAAATTTCCACTTTTCCCTCTGATTTCTAAATTTTCATAATTTTCTCTAACTCTCAATATTTTGAAATCTTTTATATTTATGTCCTGATTTGGGAATCATTAAATATTCTGTTGAGAGAGTAATTTAACGTAACAATGTCGATTACTACTCGTATTAACGTTGCTGACATTACTTGCATTTAATTATTCGGTTGGTAGTGTCCTAAAACTGCGTAGGTGTAATGCAGAAATATTGCACTTCTTTAAAGTCAAGAATTTTTATTTTTAGACAATTTTGCAAAATTTCCCGACGTTTCTCCGCTTTCTCTGATTTCTAGTTTTGCGCCTATGACACTAAATAATTTTACGACAGATGCAAAGTTACTTTTTCAGCTGAACGCGGTCGAATAACAGTCTTTTTTAGCGAAACAAATATTGTACAATTAGTCGCGAATACGTCACGTGAAGAGATATACAGCTTTATAATACAACCTTATTACAGCTTTATATACAGCTTATATACAACCATGTAATGACTATGCGTATAGTAATGCATGCGATCGGGTCTCGAGTGCGTTCGCGTGCTTGCTACATTAATCTTCCTTGGAAGATAAGGACGGTGCACATTCCCCAGGCAATAGCTAGCAATTCGTACGAGCGCTGTTTCCCAGTCATCAGTCAGAACAAAGAATGACTATGTACAATACATCTCATCCAGCTTCTGAGCATTCGCGTCGTTCCCCTTTAACCTCCATGTAACTTTAGTACGCCGGTCCGAAAAATTCACTCGTTTTGTCTACACAAATAAAGAGGCGTCTATAAACGATAATCTTCACGATCTTATCGATTGCGAAAAAGAGAGGGAAAGAGAAGCCCGGGCGCGTTCAGAGATCCGAAAAGCGCCGGGAGGGTCGAATTCAATCTTCATCAGGAAAGCCATTACAACCGCGGGGAACGAAATTCCACTCGTAAATCCTTTATCGTCGCCACAACGTCGGACGGAGAAGATCCTCCCTAAATCCCACTCGATCTCGCGTTAGAAATCCGAACTCGATATATCACGGTAGCTTTCGTACATTATTAGACAACGCTCGAGGTCAGTAGCGGTTTGGCGGTTACATCGATTTACGGGATCTAATCGCTCGCTCGCTCGCTCGCGACGTTTCTCGTCAAACTGTAGTCAGGGTAACATCGTGACGTCGTAACGCTGCGCGCTGTAACGTCAGACTGAAAATATACGCGCCGCATTTGTAGTCGTGGTAAAAGTACTGAACGAGCGTTTAAGTCTACTTTTAAGAGTCTCGTAAAAGCCGCCCACAAACACGCGGCTCTTTGCCGGCCGCGTAACTCTCTATACTAGTCAGCCAAATGACTGTATTATAGTTTGATAGTCCCAGTTATGTCCGTAGGATACACTCGAATTGCATCTCGCGACGTGGGGAACGTCGTGCTGGTCCCCGAGCGGCGCGGCGTCGAGACGTGCTTTACGACGTTGCGTTTCCCCGCGCGTTGCGTCGCGATTCTTTCAGGAACTTCCCGGTCGTTTTATCGCAAACGGAAAGTTTAAGGTGAAAAAAAAAGGTCTATTTTAACTGTATCGTGAAGGTGCGTCTCTCAGATTGAAGAATAATATGATCGAAAGTCACGCAACACTTGTGTGTAGACTGCTATAATATATTAAGAGAGATAACGATATGCCTGTGAAATACACGCGGCAGTTTTTCTAGAGGAACAAGAATAAATTTTGTTTATGAATACATTTATAAAAGTATTTTTACACTTAGTATTGTTATATTAAGCACTAAGGTCCGCTTTGACCGAAAATATCTTTTTATTTCTGTTAATAATAGATTCATTGATGCATTCTGTGATGCATTCGAGTCTATGACGTAAATGATATTTAAGGCAGCAAACAAAAAGCTGTTAGATAATGAAGAAATAGCTCAACGTCCGATAAAACGAGGATTTAGCGATTTATACGGCGTTTTAATATCGGAAGTGAGTAATGCGTCACGCCTTGTCTGCTTTCCGTAGGATAAAAATAGCTTTTTAAAGCCCACGGATACGTTTATGTCAGCGCTTGCGTTTTCCAGATTATTAACGCGTCATTAGTGTCGGTGTA